AAGCTCTTCAAATTTGAGCCGAACTTCAAGGTACAAACCTCTTCAAAATTGAGCAAGTCTTCAAGTTGCGAAGCGTTTTGAAACGTAAGCTAAATCTTCCAATTACTATGCTCTTAAGCACACCAGCCTAAACTGCATGTCACGAAACTCTTCAAATTTGAGCAAAATCTTCAAGTTTCAAAGCTCCTCTAAAATATGAGCTTAATTCGCAAGTTGCCACGCTCCTTACCGCAAGAGCATAAACTGCAAGTTGCTCCTGGCCCGCAAGATTATAAATGTGTACGTCCCAAAAAAAAAGTCTGCTAGGCTGAAATCTTGAAAGAGACGGCCTAGGCAAAAGTTAGGATAAAAAAGAAGAACTCACCCATTCTGAATTATGGTATGACTTGATCCTCTTCACTGAGGTACGTAGGCAGTTTAGAGTTTTATTTTAAGTTCAGTCACATGAGTTCAAAAATATAAATTTCCCCTAGCATTGTTCGAATTAAAGTATAATGGAATATAATCCACTTGATTGGCACTTGAAAATCAGACTTGCATGTATTCTTTTATTGAGCTTCATGCCTAATCGGATATTGATGATTTAATGGGGGCAAGCCTCCATAGGAAATTGACATCTCTGATAGGATGGTTGTAGTATTCTAGAAAGAGGCCAAGTATTTAAGTTGAAGTCTGCAAGTCCACCGATCTTCAAGCTGAAGTTTTCAAGTTCGCCGGTCTTCAAGTTGAAGTATTCAATCCCTCCAAGTATTCAAGTCAAAGTATGCGAGTTCTCCAAGTTTTCAAGTCTCCTAGTCTTCAAGTCCGCTAATTTTTCAAGTTGAAGTTTTCAAGTCCATCGCTCTTCAAGTTGAAGTGTCAAAGTCTGCCCAATCTTTAAGTCCTCCAAATCTTAAATTTAAAGTCTTAAAGTCTGAAAAATCTTCAAGTTTGTTGGTCTTCAAGCTAAAGTCTGCAAGTCCGCCAAGTTTTCAAAGTTCGCCAAGTGTTCAAGTCGAAGTCGTCAAGTCCACCAAGTCTTCAAGTTGAGCTTTATAATTTTTCAATCATAAGGTGGACGTTTAAGTCCCTTTGCATCTTAGGTTGGCCTCTTTCCGGGTGTGTCCTTAAAATGAACTATAATTATTTAGTCTTAAGGTGGACGTTTAAGTCCCTTTGCACCTTAAGTCGGCCTCTTTCTAGGTTTGTCCTTAAAATGAACTTTAATTTCCCAGTCTTAAGATGGACATTTAAGTCTCTTTGTACCTTAACCTGGTCTCATCCCGGATTTGATCCTTCTATATGTTGTTAAGAATTTGTCCTATATATTGTCATCAATTTATCCTTCTATATGTTGTATGAACCTTTGGACCCCAAGATTACCTTTTCGATTTTTGGCCGGGGATGAGTACCCATCCCTTCACACTCTAAGATTACCATCTTCATGCATGGGTCATCTTTTTGAACAAGAACTTGTCTTTCTCTATCTAACCTACAAAAAAAAAGGAAAGAAAGAAAAAGACAACAAAAAATACACAGAGGAAAAAGAATTACCATGGGATTGCCTCCTAGTCGTGAAAATACGATACAAAGGTAGCTCGGAGTTGTTACGAATTACAACAACAACAACAACAAGGTCGAGAGGCTGTTTCCAATAGAAACTCGGCATCCTTCCCTCCAAGAACTCTCCACCTTGCTCTTGGGGTGACTCGAACTCACAACCTCTTGGTTGGAAGTGGAGGTTGCTTACCATCAGAGCAACCCCTCTTGTCACGGAGTTGTTACGAATTAATGCTCAATAAACAAGAGTGCATGGAGTTTATATATATGTAAAAGATGGCATGAAAAAGTAGCATTCGATGTGGGATCAGTTGAAAAGGCGACGGCAACGATTTGTCTCCAACATGGACTTGGATGACTGGAAGACTTCAAAAAAGATTCAAATAAGATTATCTCCTAGTCCGTATAAAATACAAGGAGTCTAATATAATAAGGAACAATAAAATAAAGGAATGTCTCCAATTCTTTACGTGTACTTTGATAAGGGAATCAAGTACTTTGACTTCAGTAACAACACTAAGGAGATTTTCCATTTTAAAGTGTTGTGAAGTCATTTTACACTTTAACGTGTAGTCGTGTAGTAAAAAGGTTATTATCTTATCCAATGTTCTAATCCTAATAATTATTATTTTATTAAGCCAACGACGAATATTTTCATGACCATCGGGAGTAAACCTTAAAGTTCCAGTAAACGGAAGAAGTACTTTTTACAGTTACTTCAAGCCTAGCCTTCGAAGTTAACAAGTTAACATCTAGGAGTCTTGAAATAAGGGCATTTGTAGGCATATAAATTTTATCGAAATTATATTCAAAAAAATAAATTGAACTATATTTTAAATTAAAAATATATTGGTCTAAATAAATATTATAGGCTAATTTAATTGGCTTAATTATCTAAATCTAATATATTTGGATTAAATAAATAAGGCTAAATTCATTGGGCTAGCCCGTTTAATTGGGCCACAAATGATGAGTCCACTTTATTAAGCCCAAGATGTCACCTTCCTAGGGGTCCAATTTGGTGCCACGTGTCAAATGACGTGGCACGCCAAGTCAAACAGAAGAGCCAATATGACCATACCACATGTCAAAATGACAATGCAAGTCAACTCAAATTAAAAGGTCGATGAAACCGTGCCGCATGTATAAGTGACATGTTCTGGCCAATCAAATACAGTCTTGTCACGTTTCAATCTTATTGGTCGGAATAAGTTTGTTCTCATCACAATTCTTCCCTCCCACAACTATAAATAGGGATCTTCATAACTCAAAAAGAAGACCAGAAGCCATAACAAGAAGCAAAAGAACTATTTCAAACTTTATTACCCTCCCTACTCAAGTTTTAATCTAATTACATAATATATACAAAATTATCAATTATGTATATTTTTAGGCATTTAATGATAATAATTAAATCCTAAAATCACTCTAACGTCTATATCCCACTCCCCCCACGTTCCCCCTCCNTATGAAAGTTGTAGATAAGTTGTATAATATATAATTAGTTGTATGAAATTTATTTTTACTATGTATAAATCAGATACAAAATATACAAAAGGCATATTGTATAAAAATTGTATAAAAATTGTATTTAAGTTGTATATATTGTAGTTGTATATAATTGGGTAGAAATAATATATGAAAGTGTAAATAAGTTGTAGATAAGTTGTATAATATATAATTAATTGTATGAAATTTATTTTTACTATGTATAAATCAGATATAAAATATACAAAAAATATATTGTATAAAATTTATATAAAAATAGTATTTGTTTAATAAGGAATAGTGTCAAGAACAGAGAAGTGGCTGAATCTGCAGCCACTTTCATCTATTTTCTTATAAAATTGAAACTTCTTTTGTGAATTTTAAAAGGGTGTATTGGTACTGATTTTTGGCTTGTTTATTTATAGAAAAAATATGAAGATGTGAACAGACTAATTTTAAGCGTGAAATTGAGGCGCTGGATATTTGGTGATTGGTATTATAATCTGATTCGATATTTTATCCCTATTAGTATTCTCCGTAAGATGAGGGCCACTGGAGGTGGTGAGAAGAAGAAATGAAACTTGTATCCTTGTTGATATCAAAGAACCCAGTTAGTTAATTCACTAGCTTTTATGTTTGCAATGTATTTTTGTTTTCAAGAACGAAGACTTGTGACTAAAAGTTTCCGATTTATGTTCCATGAAGATTCTGGAATTAGTGACATTTTAGACATTTTTGCCCAAAAAAAAAGATGTTGACATTGAGAAGATGGTAATTATTGATTTTCGTATAGGAAGATTATCATATATTAAGGGGGGAGAAAAATAAGGAAAGAGAAGAGGAGAGAAAAAGGAAAAGGGTGTAACTAAATCCCTTGATTGAAGGCACAAATAATGGATTGGGAGCCTTTTAAGGTGGATTGTATATATATTATAACTAAAATGTGTTTAGGTCGGGTAAATACCAAAACATGAATATTTTTCGTAATAAGGTTTCAAATATTGTATATGAATGAAAAAACCCCTTTAAAGTTTTGGGGCAACAGGTGGAATACTTTTTTATTGGGTGGGTATTTCTGTTCAAGACCCAATTCTATTCGTGTCTAATGAATAATGGCTTGATATTCTAAATGAATATGCATAGCTGGTTTATCGCCACACTGGCAGCAGCAGGTGAATTAGCCTCTTGGAACTATAGTCTAGAAAAACCATTGAGGAAAACTTACTACGGTGTGCCAACAATTTTATAATGTGTGAATGTGTGGTCTTATAATTTTAGCCGTGATAATTGACTATTCATCAATGAATATAGTTAGCCCAAACTTCGATTCCCACCCTTCCCTTATCATAATTTCATCTGCTGCTATTACAATCATCCATTACTAATGACTTGCCAAGTAAATACTTCAATTCATCTCGAATGAAAGATGTTACTCTTAATTGATCCAAAGACTTTCATCCAATTCTTATGCTATTGCTAGTGCTTTTGAGAAAAACAATAACTTATCGTGGCCGTTTCGGAGGTACTACAAGCTGGGGTTATATGTTACTAGCACTTCCTTTATCTAACCCTTTGGAGTGCTCCGGTAGCATATTACAACACCAGTTAACCAAATCACACGATGTGCGATCTGCTTTGCGTTTCCTAGGAACAGCGTCGGACCAAGTCCAGACTATATGAGTTTTAATAGCTAGAAGATAATACCATTAACAGTAGTTCTCCATAAAAATATAGACGCTTGAAAATATTTGAGTTCCATATATGCTTGACAAAAAAAACAATTTCCCGAACAAATAACAGGCCACTTGATGCATACTAGAATACACTGACCTGATTTTGATGATCGCAAGTTGCAACAATTAGTTAAAGTTTACATCAACTGCACGGCAATATATTATCTAGTGTTACGTTGTGTTGCAAATCAGTGTAAAGCATAGATTCTTTTGCACAAAGAAAAAAATGACACGCCAACAGAGCTCACCAAAGCCAAACAATAAATTTCTTTTACAGTAAAAAGAACACCATTTCTGCTTAGGAACAAACTAATTCGAACAAATGGATACATGTTTAGGAGATCTGAACTTCCCAAATTTAACTTCTCTTTCACTGTTGACCTATTCAATCTTTTGGACCAACTGCAGCTTTTTGACAAAGATGTCTGATAAATACAAATGACTCCGAGTGGCACTCCAATAGTTATGAGACTTTTACATAGAACAGCCCAACTTCAGCACAACAGCAGGGCCAATACAAGAATAAACAAAATAATCAACCACCAACAGCACACCGAACAACAAGAATTACAGCAATCGGGGTTTGAAAAAAAGAGGAATGCGAAGAGCATGTATGAAATCCTATAGCTGAGGTTGTTGAAAGTATAATTTACATTGAGGAAAGGCCTCCAAGAAACTTGAAGTCAGTTCTGGTGGCAACTGTAGCCGTAAAAGCACTTGGTGATATCTTTCAATTACCGAAAGCACAGTGCTCTCCAGATCCACATCTTCCAGACAACCTGAAGTAATCGAAGAAATTTAAGGGAAACAAAGCAATAGAAATTTAAAAAATGAACATCAATGCTGATGATATTAAACACAGTAAAAGAAGACGCAAATACTTAAGTTGTCAACCTCAACTAGGATGTGATTAATCCTTACTTAATTGTGATATCTGAGCTCAATGGATATAAAAGATGCATATAACCAACTACGACAATGTTGAGATTGAGGTATAGTTAATTGATTGAAACTTGAGAGAGAAGAGCCGCTGAAGCAGCATTGTTTAAATGTGATAATCCACAGAAGATATTGTCAACATGACACTGATTCAGTCTGTTTTTTACATCTAGGAATTTTGACGACAATTTCGAACTTTGACAAGTAGATCATCTTGTGAACCAAGATAAAAATCATTATGATTGCACAGTAATGTTGCTGATTTAATGAGCAGTAGAAATGAAGAGTTGATCGATTTCTTTACTTCTATAAACAGCCAGGAGAGATTGATTTTCTCTACTTTTATAAACAGCTAAATAAGTAATCTATTTCACCCTGCACCTCAAATGTCTGCATCCTAATGGTATTTTCAAGAATGAGAGCGTTGGCAGGCTTACCCAGTTCAATTTCTTGCTCTTGATCTTCTACATCTCCTTCCACAATGGTCCCATTTTCCATTTCTACGGCTGTCTTGGCGCATCTCTCCAAGAACTCTTCTTCAGTTTCTTCGAGTTCATCATCTTCGGAGTCCTAGCATTGAATTAAGAACAATAACAATCATCTTTCATTATCTATTGCAAAGGTTTTATAAAATGTATTTTATGTGATGAATGTACAGTCGCATAGCATGTGAGAGGTATGGGGATTGTACTCCACATCTCCATTTTACTTATCAAAAGTTTATGATATATGATGAATGTATAGCATATGCTCACTATTCCTTACTTCCACTACATGCTTTTCATGCCTGTATGATGGAGCCAACAAACAGAAACCACGGATAATGAACGCAAAAAGACAACAATATGACATCATTGACAATTTCTGTGATATTATATATAAACACTATAGACAAGGTGATTATGAAAAACAAAAAGGCAGTGATAATCATCTTTTTCGAGTCACAATATGTTATGTAATGAAAAGAAAAATGTATTTCCATTAAGAAAGCTGGTGAAATATGAGAAAATTTCAACTTACATGGAAGGACCACAATTAAGTGGAGCCATAATTTGCTAATGAGGCAAAACTCATGTCAGAAGGTTAAGGAATTCTTGTGAATGTAAAGACTCATCAGTCAAGTCACTTGTATTTCGGTAACCAGAAAAGAGGGAGAGTACAATGTTACTGTTCCACAAATAGAACATACCTTGNAGCCATACTATCAGCTTGTCAAGAGATTGTGCGAGTGTCATCACTGGTAGTAAAATAGGAAAAAAGCAGACACAGAGACAGTTGCTGATGAGATTCTCAGGAGGAAGTTCTTTATAAGATTGATGACAAATGGCGGAAAAACTGAATATTTAAAAGGCAAAGCAAGTTAAAACACAATAGTGAACCACAAGGTATAATAATAATTAGCGTAAGTTTGCAACATAAGAACATACACTTTAGCTGTGGACAGATAAAAAGATCAAGATAACATCAGTAGCATTTTCCAGAACATAAAAAATGGCTCATGTAAAGCCATGGCATCACCAAAATATATGTTGCCCTGTAAGAGAAATGTCAAGCAGGAAAGTCCCTGATTGAACTAAAAAAATTAGTTGGGAAAAAATGAAATAGAATTCTAACCAGCCAACTTGATCTCAGACTCTGATGACAAACTATGCTCAAATTTGCTTGTTGAGATAATTGCCAAAGCGGATAGAAAGACTGTAACGCTTTCATGTTCGATGCCCTCTAGAATATTCTCTACCATATCCGGGAAACATAAATAACATGACGCTATTGCAAGCAACAAAGGTTTCCATAGAGGGACAGCCTTGCTTCTAAGCTCTCTAAAACGAGAAAATGCTGCGTGACACAAGGATATCACCAATGATTGCTTGAAATCGTCTCCTTCAGGTAAGTAACTGGGATTATGTAACAGAATGTGGACACAAGAAGCTGCCCTCCATACTGCAGATGGATACTGTGAGAAAGCTTCTGTAATGAATGCACCAATTCCTTCAAGGATGGATTTTTGAGGAGCAGGAGGCAACGGCAACTTCCCCACAAGAAAATTCTTCAAAGCAAATTTCCTGTCTAGACTAACAGCTTTCTTGATACAGTTAAAAATAGATAAATCCTCTATCTCCTCCCATGCATGCCAATCAGCTATGAGATCTGACCAGACCAGCATCAGCTCTGAGACCTTTAGCTTCAAAAGATCATCAGTTTCGGTAATTCCTTGCAAAATGAAACCAAGCAACGTGGAACAATCATCGACACATGATGCAGGGGGCACTGACAAGGCAACCTCAGGTTCCTGATAATTGCAACAAATAATATGAGAAGATAACAAGAGAGTTGAGCACATCAGAAGCAAAAGAAATATTAAGATTCTTCTAATCACACTGTTATCCCAAGTGAGACATTGACCAGTTAAGTACAAGAGGCAATGACCAGTTAAGTACAAGCTGAATCTAACAGGAATTCTCATTGGTGGAGGAACTGGATCAGAAAAAAAGAGGGATTCTAGTTGTAAGGTATCTAATGAAACCATTGCTGAAATTGGGATCTTATTCAAAGAAAACGGTATCAAATATCTGGAGCTTCTTTTTGTGCTAGGTCAAGGATCCAGTAGGTAGCCACTCCTTTCTCGGAGAACCGTACATGAGACTTCTGCCTCATCCTGAGCTTCCATCAATATATGAACAGCTTTGGATCGTGCATGAGAAGCTAACAGGCTTAATCTATTAAAGGTTGGTATGGATTTCGCAATACAAATCATACAACTATTATAGTATAAACACTAGACTTAAGCTGCATCTAGCATTGAGGTGATTGCATTTTAAATATAGACACATGAGCACGAATAGGCTTCAGTCATGATGTTTTTAAAGGAAGTATTTTACTGAAGTAGTACTGAGCATGTTACTTTGACAAAAAGTAAAGAATGGACTATATATGCATACAAGCTTGTGTTTTTATCTAGCCATTCACTCTACGATTAATTTTGATACATGGCTCAAGACTAACCATCCGTAGAGCAGATCTTAGCCAGGCATGCTGTAGGAGATCTGAAAATGCTCTCATCATGGTTGCCTGACCAGAACGCCACAATTGACTTGAACCATCCTGCTCATTTTCTTCTGATGCAGAGTCTTCCCAACACTGAGCCATCACTGCTAGTGATGCAAAGCCCTGTTCCACCATCTATCAGATGCAAGTCAGTAATTGCAAATCTCAATATGCCTTATATTATATGTATGGATGAGTTTGTTTTTTCTTAATTTCAGATTTGGGTGAAGAGCGAGGTTGAATCTAGACACGCCGATGCACCCATTACCAGATCAGCATAAAAAAAGGATTTAAGATTGTGTTTCAAGGTACTTCAGTACAAGAAGGAATCATAAAGTTTAGTCCTATTCCTATCAAAGTAATGACTCTGGACCATGTAACATGACATGCAACGTGACTAGAAAAGATGAAGTTTCAAAGCAAGCAATCCAACCTATAGGACTTCCATTTAAACTATAAACAATGAATAGTGAACCACATAGCTCCATAAAATATTGAAATTTGCACAAGACACGTTCTCATTTTCATGCCAGTTACCAAAATGAAAATTACAATCATCAAAAGATTTGCTAAAGAATAAAAATACAAATACATCAGATGCATAAGAGTGCAGTAGTTGTAGTTGTAAATAAGAAGATACCTGAGGCCATGGCTCCAGATCTAAAGGTAACTTCTTTGAGATTTCTCTAACCAACAGACAAACAATATCTGGAATATGAGGTGCAATTTTTTCATTTCCAGCCTCGACCATAGTACTTAGAAGCTGAAAGTAAATGGAGCTATCTTCTTCTTCATCACCAATCCTATGACAAACCACTTGAAGAAGAGGTAACCACTCAGGTGGCATGTACTCATTCTGCAGTACCAAAGTACAGCATTATTTTCACTATCATACTTCAAGTGCATAAAATAGGCTAGCCATATTTAGCCACTTACTTCTACAAGTTGGGCAATGGCAGCAGCAGTTGTCACCCGCACAGGATAACTAGAAACACCCCCTATATCTGACATTGTTAACGCTTTCACTAATGAAGAATAAATATCAGCACTCATACCCTGTTGTGGAAAGAAAAAAAGGGAACTTACTCCACACAATGATTAATAGCAAAGGAGATGTTAAGAAGGTATCATCAAAAACATTATCCCACATCAGAAAGACATGAAGCAAGCTCTCCTAGGACCCAGTTTGCAGAGGCAATCAAATATGGTTGAGGAATTGATGTTTCATACAGTGGTAGCACCCGAGTTCTGACTAGAGTTTCCACAAATCCAGGCTTCTGCTCTGTTAGAAACTGAGAATACAATGATAGATAATTAATAGAAGTACATAATCTTTTAATTATGAAAAATAAATTTTGAACTACTACTAGTATGATCTCTCCTTACATCCAAAAGGCTGCTATAGGCCATCAGGACTCCATAATACCTGTCAAAGTTTAGACAAGGAAATGAAAGTAAATCTCGTAGACAGGATGCAAGCATGATCAAGGAAGGTTAGAAAAAGAAGAAAAAAAAGGTCTGCATAAATGGCGAAACAAAGTAGGATAATTTTGTTAACAGCAGACCTTAGAGTTCAAGAATTATAGAGTAATAAAATGATGCTTAGAACAATAACAGAACAAATAGCCTCGACCATAATCATAATGAATTTTAAATAGTGGAGAACTTTCTGAATAGGTTCCTGTTAAATAGGTACTGAAGTACAGTGATATAAGACAATCTATTGCAAAGTTAAAGGATACTCACTCATTTACTGTGTTTTCTCCGTTATCAGTGGGAACAGGAAACTTTGACAAGTACGGAAGCACCAACAACTCCCCCATCGTGCTGTAACCTTTTCTTTTATGTTTATCTCCTTTCTTACGCTTTGATGAAGCTGTAGAAGTCTTGACTGGAGGTCCCTAGAGGTCAAAGAATAAATTATAGATAACTTTGTGCATTTTAATAGAAGAAGCTGGAGCTATATAAGTTATAGAAAACTAACCATTGATAATGAAATAACACCAAGCAAGTTTAAAGCACTTTTCCTTGCTGTAAACAGGTCATCTCTCCATCCAGAAATTTCTTCCTGCAGGATCATAAAATTCAGACACTAAAAAATTCTAAGAATGTTAAGAGTGTACAACTTATAAGGAAGTTCAAAGATTTGTACACACAAGGTCTGAGGGAAGATTTTTCCTTATGTACTCATCTGGATCTTCTTCCCACTCTGCTGTGTCCTACTTAGCAGACATAAGTCTTTAATCAGAACTTCAGAAAGAGTATGCAACAACAAAAGAAAGAAACTCATGTATACATGCAGACAGCAGCTTTTAAAGGCGAATTCTTGGAATAACCACCTTCTCATTCATCACAAGAGCTGGGAAGATTGCATAGTTCAGCAAGGAAGAAAAGTGGGGTGAAACCAGTCGCCATCCCTATTTCATATGATAATAATATAATTTAGCTTGGAGACTCCAAAGTAACCATAAAAGTAAGTTTCGAGAGAACCATGGATCAAGATAAATGCGTAAAAAGAGAAAGAAGCAAGAAGGTGAAAGAACAAGCAGGAAAATTAAGCACCATAGCCAGGTCGAGCTACAACAAACTAGTCAAGCAAAAGAGAAACTTTTGACCGTGAAGACAACTGAACAACTTACCGGACCTGTCTCTAGAACACGAGAAATAACATCAAAGGCTAATGAAATAATCCTTTCTGACAGTGAATCCAATTTCTGCACCAAATGAATAAGTAAATGAAGAGAGAAGATAGAAAATAAAAATGATCACAGAAAGAGTGAGAGATAAGGTAAATGTGTGGGAAAAACACTTACGAGAACAGCATACAAGTTCATGAGATAAAACAGATATTAAAATTTAGCAGATGTTCTGCTTATATGACAAAAATGTAGTGTAGTTAAAGAACAGTGAATCTGATGGTCGCATGCTGAATAAGAAAAAACTATTTACTACGCATTCCAGTGAAATAATATTATGAAACACCTGATACGAAAGTTCTGTTTTCTAGTACTATCAAGTAATGCCCGTCAGACTTACATTGATGATTTTGCTATGCTTGACAATTTCTGAAACGCATTTCACCATATCAGGCATCAGTCTGCCATTGTAAGAGAAGAAATGAGGAAAACCTGGATTTCTATATTTACATTCGGAGCAAATAAAATGCATTTTTGGCAGCATACTTGTCAGCAAACTTTCGATGCCTGGAGATTAGAGCACAGAAAATTAGCAGACTTCTCTTTGCAGTCTTCATCCTCAATGAATATCCATCTTTGCAAGTCGAACCATCATTTAAACTTAAAGAATTCAGAATCCGTATCAGATCTTGACAAATAGAAGGAAGCAAAGGAGCCAAGGCAGACGGCATGTGAGATCTCACCTATAAAATTGATGGGGACTTAGGATTATAATACTGCTCACAGTAAGCATATTCACAAAAGAAACCTTACTAGAAAAAGACGGGTGCTTCCAGATAAATATTAATTGGACGCATAAAAGGACAAGTTTAAAAAGCTCCCGGATAATTTGAACAGTTTTGGAAAAGAAAAATAGTGCATTGTCATCGGATACCATCAGATCACTTGATTTGGTAAACTGTTGTTTCTTTTTCCAAAAGAGGTTAAATAAAAGGAAGTGAGACTGTTCCTAAGTAAACCAAGCAACCAATTCTTTGAATGAAGCAAGATGTATTGTCCTGGCATAGCTGAACATCCATGCTTATCATTCACCTTTTTCCGGTTAGCTAAAGATCTGTGTGCATAAAGCTGTATTTAAAAGCACTTGTATTTCAAAGCTTCAAGATCACATGTGAAACATTGTAAAAAGAATCACTTTAGCTCGTGTAAATCATGTCTAGTGCCCATTTTCAGCAGAATTACTTTCACTTATAAACAACTTCATCTCCTCGAAATGCTAGATAATTGTATCTAGCAATTTCCTTATATCATTTTTGTTATTTTCTATATGCTCGAAGGTCTTTAGGCTCCAAGACTCCGAAATGTTGTCTTCTAACTTCTTAAGACAAACAATCAAAACAGAAGCTAGAGCTCAAATGATAGTTGACCTATCAAGGGTCAAACATCATGTGCTGTAAGTTTATCCTCACCGCCAAATAGACGCACTTGCATATGATGAGAAGGATAGTTCCCGTCTGCATTTCTGTTGTATGTTGGGCATCTGATACCTGTTTCATGCAACACCGAATCAGCACTTCTAAGATACTTTAAAGTAATACATCCCAATATGGAAGTAAGTAGAGGACGAGGAATTTAGGAAGTTATGTGGACCTCTTCGATGCAGAGGTGAAATACAGCAAGTAAGGGTACAAGGATCTCTCTTGTAATAAGCTCTAGCTGTGGTGGAACCGGCTCCTTCGCAAGTTTTGGATTCAGAAAGTACTGCCATGAGACATAAGATGAGATCACTACAAGAACCTAGCAAGGAAATTTTTAGGACAGATTTGGAATAAATGAGGAAGTGGTTTAGTTAGTTATTCAGTCAAAACAACTTCGATTTTAAGCAAATTATAGAATGTTGTTGCAGCACAGATAAAACAGCTCTATCCTCATAAAGCTCAACCTAAAGCCTGCTTGATCACCCTACAAATTTTTAAACAAATCTTCAAACAATTAGCAAGCTGTGGGGTGGCCTTGCTCAGTACCACATGACAGCCAGCAAGGTTCTAGCATAGGCATATAATTCAACATAGTAAGAAACATACTGCGCATCAGATCTAAAGTTGCTCGAGAAATAGAGATAACAGAGGGGAAGTCATCAGTGTAATGCCAATGGAGAACTGAGACACGAAAACAAATGAAAAAAATTGCAAGTGAATACGAGGGAATAACAAACAACTTAAGATAACAGCAAAAGTGTCATTTCCTTAATGAGATGAATAGATAAACAAAGAAAATAGGAACCATGCATGCTATGAAAATCAACTTCATCATACTTCGAGATGATAGGAAAAGATCTGCAAGCGTCTAATTATGAACACAGCATTTCTGGGAAAAAAGAGTTGCCAGTTTAGAGAGTCAATTCCCCTCCAAGGTTGAAAAAAAAAAGTAACCTGGAATCAGAATATAGTTGAGACGTGTTAAAGTACCTGGAAGGGTCTAATGAGTGAGTGAAGAATGGTGAGCGCATTGATGGTTTTCCATTCAGAACTGGGATTCTTATCAATAAGATCGCTACGCTGAATGACGGACCTCAGCTCAGGCACAAGCTCAGGCCAGGAATCCTTCTTCACGAACTCAACTGCAACGATTGAGCGAAACTGAAAACAAGGAGAACAAAAGATAATTAAAACATCCTCATTAGTTACATGCAAAAGAACAAAAAGTTATGCCCAAAACGCTTACAGCTTCAACTAATACTTTAAGAGCCGTAGGTTCCGCTTGAAGCAAAGCACATACAAGTGCATCTCTAAACGCTTTGGTGATTTCTAAATTTGTCTCTGTAGATTCGATTCTTCGTCTAATGAAGTTCTTGAGATATGTGGCTCCAGCTACTTTCTGACCTCCGTTCTCACCTCCTATACCAAAGGTCATCGAATTTAAAATATAGCACAGAGATTTAAAAAATTTTAACCAACACAGAAATTAAATTTCAAAACGACAACATTACGCAAAAGCATAATCGGATAACTACTCCTTCAAAGTCAAAACCTCAATTAGTGAAACGAAATCAGCATTTATAAAATATATCGGAAATGCAGAGTACCTGTGGCGATAGATAGCAGACTGAACGGAAAGTTTGGGAGAGTAGAGAGGCGATCGAGAGCATCCATGGCGACATGGACGACGGCACCGTCAGGGCTCAGTGTTTGGTTGAGGAGCTGAGCAATTTGATGAATTTCCATGGCGTATGTGTGGTGGCGCAGCGGCAGAACCCTAGCAAAGACTGCAGCTACAAACACTACACAAGTTGCCAAAAGGAGCTCTAAAAAAAGTAATTTTGGCAAAAATAGCGATTGGCTGCAGTGCTGGAAGCGCGGGAAAGTTGCTACTGGCGCCGTCTTTTTTTTTTTCGTAAAAGATAATTTAAAGACTTCAATGTACATTTGGAATAGTAACATATACCGTAAAAATCGGTTAGTGTGATTATCGAGCTCGAATTCAAGTCGAACTATTATACAAAGTAAAATTATCGAGTTTATGAGACAGATACCGATCAACACTGACCCCGAATCAATACAAGGATGCGAGTCAGAATCGAGCTCGAGTCAAGATCGAGAGCTCGAGTCAATATCGAGCTCATAGACAAGAGCCGTTGCAATCCCACTAGAGGAGAGAATCCTGGCAGGAATTATGGAAAAGCTGATTTATCATGGGTCTCTCACTATGTATTTTTAATTATATCTAAAAGTAAGATCTCTCTATTATAAAGGGGATGGTTATTATTTCTCTAAGGACCAAGTTGTTGCTTACATTGTAACTAAAAGACCATACACTCCTATATTGAAGGGTTATTCTTTTGGGCTTCATAGATTGATTCATCTTGCTTAGTCCTTAAATCATCTTCTCTTCCAACCTTGTGTATTTTTCATTCTTTACAATTTGTATTTGATACTTTCAATTTATCCTTACGATTTGTGTTAAGTTATACCATATATCCTTAGAACTACGTATAAATTCAACTCTATCCGTTTTTCGGGTAAACAGTTTGGCGCCCACCGTGGGGCTAAGGATAACAGTGGTTATTTGATACGAATCTGCAAAAACACGTCGTTTTGCGCTTGTTTTCGGAAGTGTCTTTGATTTCGGATTAGCAACGACTAAATTATAAATTAAATGGCCTTACCTATCGACAACGAAGCTGGTCTTCAAGATGAGAACAATAACTTGACACCCAGTACCGAAAGGCCGCTTGTCAACGTTGTTGGAGCTCGAATCGAAGTGCCGATAGACATTAATTCGCATGTGGCCATTGAGGTGAACCTACATTCTGAACCTGAAAATAGCATACATGGTGGCACTCGATCTGCAGCTCGAGATACCCATAACGTCGAGGAAAACGACATCAACTTGCGTATGATTTTGTACCAATTGTGAATGAATTCCCCGATGTATTTTCGGATGAGCTCCCTGGAATTCCTCCAGATAGGGAGATTAATTTTGGGATTGATATGATGCCAGGCACGCAGCCTATATCCATTCCACCTTATAGAATGGCGCCGGCAGAATTAAAAGAGCTAAAGGAACAACTAAGGGATTTGCTAGATAAAGGTTTCATCCGACCGAGTGTGTCACCTTGGGGCGCACCCGTTCTCTTTGTCAGAAAGAAAGATGGATCACTGCGGATGTGTATTGAATACCGGCAACTCAACAAAGTCACAATCATAAACAAATACCCATTGCCTAGAATAGATGATTTGTTTGATCAATTACAAGGTGCTAAGTTTATCTCCAAAATTGATTTGCGGTCCGGGTACCATCAATTGAAGGTGCAAGCTCAACAAGCAGCGATAGCTCAGTTGCAGAGTCAAACTCAGATACAGAGCATGTTGGAGCCCAGTCAACCCCGAGAAATCGCCCATACAACGGAACTAGCTATAGTGAAATCAAATGAGCAGGAGTCGGGGACTAATCCCGAAATTGCTAAGATGTTCGAAGAACTGACCAAACGAATAGAATCGGGAGAAAGGAGGATCGAAGCAAACGACAAAAAGGTGGAAACATACAACTCCAGGGTTGATAAGATCCCGGGGGCACCACCAATATTGAAGGGCTTAGATTCCAAAAAATTCATACAAAAGCCTTTCCCCCTAAGCGCGGCTCCTAAACTGATCCCAAAGAAGTTCCGCATGTCCGAGATTCCTAAATATAATGAAACTACCGATCCCAACGAACTGATGGACAAATCTGTTTGGAAACAGAGCTCTTTTATCGCGGAATTAGACCTGCGATTAACGTCGGCACCTCATGCACTTGTGCCATCAAAGGGAACGATCTAGAGGATGATGAGATCGAATCCGTATTATTGAAGAAATTCGGTGAAACCCTGTCAAAAGGAGCAATGATATGGTATCATAATTTGCCATATAATTCTATCGATTCTTTTGCTATGCTTGCGGATTCTTTGTAAAAGCATATGCCGGGGCCATAAAAGTCGAGACCAGGAAGTCGGACCTGTTCAAGGTAAGACAAAAGTATAACGAGATGCTAAGGGAGTTCGTATCTCGTTTTCAAATGGAACGAATGGATCTTCCACCAGTCACAGACGATTGGGCTATTCAGGCTTTCACTCAAGGTTTGAACGAATGAAGTTCGACGGCTTCACGACGGTTGAAGCATAACCTGATCGAGTACCCATCTATCACTTGGGTCGACGTGCATAATCGGTACCAATCAAAAATTAGAGTCGAAGATGATCAGTTGGGGTCTGAACCCGATGCTCGAAGGATATCAATCGAGAACAAGGTCCGATCAGGGACCGATACCGACCGTATAATAGAAACCACAGAATCAATGAATCGAGACGTAACCCCGGACAAAGCAACAAAAGAAGTGATCGAGGTCAAGGGTCTCGGGGGCTGATGAACAGAAGTGGGTTTGGCATGCCTACCAGATCTAAGGAAGCACCGCGGTTATCGGAGTATAACTTCAACATTGATGCATCCGCCATCGTGTCAGCTATCGGACTCATCAAAGACATTAAATGGCCTTGACCCATGCAGACTGATCCTGCCTAGAGGAATCCCAATCAAATGTGTGAAAATCATAGCACCCATGGCCACAGAACGGAAGATTGCAGGCAAGTAAGAAAGGAGGTAGCCCGGTTATTCAATAAAGGGCACCTTTGAGAATTTTTAAGCGACAGGGCGAAGAACCATTTCAAAAACAGGGATTTTGGCAAACAAAACGAACAAGAAGAACCACAGCACGTCATCCATATGATCATCGGCGGCGTCGATACCCCTCAAGGGCCGGTGCTTAAATGCACTCAGACATCGATTATGAGAGAAAAATGACCTCGAACTCAGGATTACGCACCCATAGGAACTTTGTCCTTCAATGATGAAGATGCAGAAGGAGCCATACAACCTCATAACGATGCACTGGTAATATCTGTACTTATGAATAAAACTAAAGTTAAGCGTGTGTTAATTGATCCAGGTAGCTCGGCCAACATCATTAGATCGAAGATTGTAGAACAGCTCGGTCTACAAGACCAGGTCGTACCCGCAAACCTGGTTCTAAATGGGTTCAATATGGCATGTAAAACCACCAAAGGCGAGATAATTCTGCCGATAAACGTGGCCGGGACCATACAGGGAACGAAGTTCCACGTAATCGAAGGCGACATGAGGTACAACGACCTTTTTGGAAGGCCATGGATCCACAACATGAGAGTTGTACCTTCGACCCTACACAAGGTTCTTAAATTCCCAACATCGAGGGAAGTCAAAATAATGTACGGAGAACAATCGGCCGCAAGAGAAATGTTTGTCGTCGAGGAAGCGAATCTGATATCCTCACCTTCGTCAATAAAGGGATCGGACTCAAAAGGGGAATGAGATGCCAAATAGCAATCACAGACATCAGCTTTAACCCAACCAGAAAATCAGAAGATTGATGAAGATGATGATCAAAGGATCCCTCGATCCTTCATGATTCCCGATGATTCCGACGCTACCCAATCAACGATTGAAGAATTGGAGCAAGTCATACTAATCGAGCATTTGCCCGAACGAAAGGTATACCTAGGAATGGGAATAACCCCCGAACTCAGGAAAAGGCTTATTCAATTTCTTATCGATAACATAGATTGTTTTTCTTGGTCCCGTTTAGATATAATAGGGATCTCACCGGATATAACGACGCACCGGCTAAACCTGGACCCTAGGTTCAAACCGGTAAAGCAAAAAAAAAAGACCCCAGTCCGAGGTAAAGCACGTATTCATAAAGGACGAGGTAACTAAACTTCTTAAAATAGGGTTCATTTGGGAGGTGAAATATCCCGAATGGTTAGCCAATGTAGTTGTAGTCCCTAAAAAAGGGAACAAACTTAGAATGTGTGTAGATTATAAGGATTTAAATAAGGCATGCCCTAAAGATTCTTTTCCGCTGCCCAACATCGATTGCATGATCGATGCCACGACCGACCACGAGGTCCTTACATTTCTCGATGCTTATTCCGGGTATAATCAAATCCAAATGAACCCGGAAGACCAAGAAAAGACTTTATTTGTCACCAAGTATGGAACATATTGTTATAATGTAATGCCTTTCGGGCTAAAATATGCAGGAGCTACTTACCAACGCCTAGTAAATAAAATGTTCGAGGAACAAATAGGTAAATCAATGAAGGTTTATATTGATGACATGCTAGTTAAATCCCTGCGCGCAGAGGACCATTTAGCTCATTTGCAGGAAACATTCGAGATTTTAAAGAAATACAACATGAAGCTCAACCCCGAGAAATGTGCTTTCGGGGTCGGTTTGGGCAAGTTCCTTGGCTTCATGGTATCAAATAGAGGGATTGAGATTAACCCCGATAAAATCAAGGCCATCGAAGACATCGCCATCGTCGACAGTGTAAAAGCCATGCAGAGGCTAACGGGATGGATTGCTGCCTTAGGCCGATTCATTTCAAGGTCGTCAGATCGAAGTCACAGATTTTTCTCTCTACTAAAAAAGAAGAACGATTTCACTTGGACCCCGGAATGCCAACATGCATTAGAGGAATTAAAGCGATATCTATCGAGCCCACTACTGCTTCATACTCCAAAAATAGATGGAAAACTTTATTTGTACTTGGCAGTATTGGAAATCGTGGTAAGTGGTGTCCTAGTTCAAGAAGAGCAAGGTACGCAATTTCCCGTTTATTATATAAGTCTAACCTTAGGAGAAGCAGATACTAGATATCCACACTTAGAAAATTGGCACTTGCACTGATAAGCACCTCTAGAAAGTTAAGACTGTACTTTCAATGTCACCCCATATGCGTATTAACCACTTACCCACTTCGTAATATTTTGCACAAGCCCGAATATCAAATATCGAATATCACCCC